CCCCGACCCCGGACGGCCCCTTCCTCGCCGACGGGGGCCCGATGGGCCAACCCCCGCCCAGGAGCGAGTCCGGGCAGGCGCGTCCCCCCGCGGAGCCAGTCCCCCCCTCCGCTTTTTGGAGGGTGAAAGAGGGGGTCTGCAACCAGGGGGTCTTCAATGGGGGCTGAATGGCCTATGTATGCTCAATGTAGCGCTCATGTATGTGATCGGGTACGATTGGCATCCAATGTTGGCGGTCATTGAGGGCCAGTCGTTCGTGCCCGCGCGTTGCCCGCGCGGGGGCGCGCGCCGTCCATCCATTCTCGCTCATGCGTGAGAGGGGGAACGACAAAAGTTTTGTCGTTCCCCCTCTCGGGCACCAGTCTGGGCCCGTGGCCGAGGCTGTGGGGACGCTGCGGTTGGCGGCTGCCCAGGCGCGCGGGGCAGGTCCCAGGGCTGTATGTACGCTAGGCACCGCCCCGAGAGGCTCTTTCGGCGCCCCACCCGCCCTGATGGGGTTGGTCCAATGCCAGTGGCAGGAAGATTCGACCACCAGTCGATTCGCTGTGGATGCTCGAGACAGGGACGGCAGGGCTGCAACTCCAGGCGCCCGCAAAAAGGGGGGTCTAATTCATACATCACGAATCGGCTCTGGCGGCTCTGACCCTCGCCTGAGAGTATGTGGGCGATGGGAACCGGGTGTGATGTATGCAGCCTTGCCTTCGACCTGGTCCTCCTCCCTTTCCCCTTCTATCCCTCCCCCGTCCTTTCTCTCACCACCTGCATGTCGTTAGCAGCGTTGCTGCCACTCGAGAGCTTGTCCACATGGTTCATTGCTAAGTATTCGAAAGTTCCTTGATTTTTGGGGGGCCAAGATCCTTTCATTTCTAATTGTTCTATCCTGAACCTTTTCCTGGCCACTAGGGGGCTAGGAAAAATGAGAAACGAGCACACTTAGAAATGAGCACGATTAGAAATGAAATACGTGTCTCCCTATGAGGCAGTTGAAACGAAGCTGAAGGGATGGAGCGAACGTGGAACATCGCGGGGGATGGTCGCGAGAAAGAGATGACCAGAGTGATGCTACAGGGGCGCAGGGCAGCTTGACATGTCAACGGGCACGTGGAGGGGGGAGTGCATCTGCGGAAGGGGTGCCCATACCGATCTGAAGGGGGGGGCGCGACCCTGGATCATGTATGGGATGTGAGGGAAGGGCTCCTTCAGACAGCTGGATCCGATATTCAGGCCGGCGCGGCAGCTTCTCTACACGTGCACAGGTGTGGGTGGCAGGAGCAGGCTGGAGGCAGCAGGAGAGGGCCACGACGGATCGCTCTTTCCCGCATGCCGCCGGTGCTGCACCGTTGTGGCACTGCAGGGCAGTTGGAGCCTGTTATTTTAGACTCTGGCAAGTTTACTTGCATGGACGGGGGGGGGCTGAGCCTGAAGCAAGCCGCAAACGACTTGCACGTTCGGGGGGGCGCGGAAATCACGCAAGTCGAAAGGCACTTGCACGCTAGCATTCGCTTGAAGAGGGGCGGGGGGGGGGGGGGCGAACGGCATGCAAGTGAACTTGCCTGAATCCCCAAAAACAGGCTCTTGGGCGGGGCTAGGACGAGGATGAGTCCGTTCCAGAGCGTGCCAGAACGCTCTGAGAAGGCCGTGGCGCCCAAGACGTCCTCCAGAGCCGCCGTCTCTCAGAGGTTCTCGCTGTATCAGATCCTCACCCGAGTGTGCCCTCATCCTGGCCTCGTTTTAGGGAGTCCCGTGCACGCCAGCCCCTCTCTGCAGGTCTCTGGCGCCTCCGGAAGTCTGCAGAGGCTCTTAAGAGGTCTCAGGGGGGTCCCATGCGAGGCCCAGGTGCCCAGGGGCCTCCTGAGGCTTCCAGGGCTCAGGGAAGGCCAAGAACATAGCGAAGCCTCAAGGTCACCCGCCCTTTCTCCCTCCTGAAAAGTGTTGTGGCTTGTCAGGGAAAATCATCTTCTGTTCGGGGTGCTCTTTGTCTCGAAGAGGAAACGCCATAACCTTAAACTCTTGGGGCTCCGCGCGGATTTCTTGGATCCGCGCTGTGGACCCCCCGGCGGCGCCTCGGGCGCCGCCCCTGGCGCGATCCGCGCGCCAGGGAGGGGGGTTCCAGCGCGGAGCCGAGAAATCCGCGCAGTGGTCCAAACGATTATGTTTATGGCGTTGCTTCTTCCTCCAATGGAGTATGACGATTAATAAATGACCGGGGGTCGTGTTCACGCGGCGGCGCCCGGGATGACGATTAGGAAAAACCGGCCGCGGGCTGGAAAACTATTTTCTTAATCGTTCTCCTCCAGTCAGAAAACTGTGCAGAAATAGCAGAAAGCCATTTCTTGAATCGTTCTCTCCCCTTTCTCTATTAGTCGTCATCCTGCATCATTGATGGCTGCTCCAAGATGGGGATTCCGAGCGACGGGGCCCCGAGGCCGAGGGGCCACAACCGACGTGAGTTCACCCTGGGACCTCTTCCCATCTCCTTGGGGCCCTCAGAGGGCCCCATCTCTGGACCGCCGCCGCTGGGACTCGCTCTCGTAGCGCCGGCGACGAGAGGGCAGGAGGGCGCTCCGGGTGTTGATGCCGCTGCAGCGGCAGGAGGGGAGGCTGGGTCAGTCGTGGCTCCGAGGCGGGGACCTTTCTGTGTTGCAAGCGGCCGACGCCATCCCGCAGACCCCCGCAAGAGGGACGACGTCAACCGGCGGGGGCCTTCGGGGCCTCCCTGGGGACCCTCTCGGGGCCTCTTGTTTGGGGCACCTGGGGTCCTCGTGGCGGGGATCTGCAGTCAACCCGCATAGGAAGGACGGGCGACCTTCCCAAGGGTACCCTCGCATCCTTGCCACTCAGGAGGGGAAGAAGCACACAGACACAATGAATCGCCGATTCCCCAGAGAATATGGGAAAATATGGGAAGTGGGGGGGAAGACAAAAACCCAGAAAATATGGGAAAATATGGGGAATCCTTTTATTGTAGTGGCCTTCGGCCAGTGCCGCCGATCCGGGTCGCTCGGATACACATATTACGCGGACACCTCACACGCGCACACGACCAAATGCACATACGGCAGACACACATACAGAGACACACTAGGCGCACGCCAGACACTAGCACGCACAGACATTCGCAGACACGCACCACACACAGACACTCGCACAGGAGCCTGTCAGGGCGTCGTAGGGGCTTCTTGGGGGCTTTTGGGGGCCCTCTTGGAGGCTCTTGGGGCCTCCTGGGGGCCTCGTGGGCTGGAAGGCTAGATTTGTTCCGCTTTTCGTCCCTCTTTTGGGTCCTCTTGGGGCCGTCTTGGGGGCCTCTTGGGCCGTCTTGGGCGGCTCTTGGGCCGCCTTGGGGCCCTCTTGGGCCGTCTTGGGACTGTCTGGGGGCCTCCTGGGCCGTCTTCGAGCGGTCTTGGGGGCCTCTTGGGCCGTCTTGGAGCGTCAGAAAGCAGAAAAAAGCGACAACCCCAAAAACATGGAAACAAAAACAATGGAAATCAACGATTTTTGCCTCTGGGGGCCCTCGTGGGAGGCCTCTTGGAGGCATCTTCAGACGTCTTGGAAGGCTCTTGGGCCGTCTTGGGGCCATCTTGGGCGTGTTCGGGCGGTCTTTCGGGGTCTCGGGACTTTCTTAGACCGTCCTCAGAGACTTTTGCGGCCGCGGCCACCCTTTTAGCGCATCCTCGAGATTAGAGCCTTCTGTAAAAGCAGCCCCCCGCGACCGCCGGAAAACAGCTCGTACCCCCCCCCCCAACCCCCCCTTCCCCGGCAGAGCCACCCTGGCAACCCCCCCAGAGGCTGAGGCTCAGCCTCGAGGCTGTAGCTGAGACTCCTTGAAACTCACACGCCGGATCGGCGGATTTGTGTGTACTTGTTTGTGTGTCCCAGGGGCCCCTTCGGCCTCCTCGGCCCATCCTTCGCCACGTTCGCTGGCCGCGCCCCGCTCGAGAAGCTCCGAACTCGGCGGGCAGGGCCCCTGCACCCTGATCGCGCACGCTTACCGTACGGGTCGGCGGCATCTGCAGCCCTCGTCTGGGGCATCGTTCTCTTTTGGGGGGCCTCGGCAGGCCGTGGGTACGGATGCGTCTGGAGCCCCCGTGGCCCGAGTATATCCACGTCCGCCGCCCGTCGGGGCACCTGAAGTTATGAAGAACAGTCATTAACTCGGGCGTGTCCCTCTACAGGAGGAATATTCAAAAGAAGTCAAAACAAAAATGTCAGGGGACGACTTTTTGACTAGTTTTGATCAGTTTCGGGTATTTGGTGGGTATGTCTTATGTTTCGTCAGGAATCGGCCTGTAGGGGGACAGTCCCGATCTAAAGCAATCACCCAGGCGGTGGTTATGGATGAATCCCCGGCTCGCAAAAGTCGTCCTGCGAGGATGGGAGGAAACCCTTGCGACTTCTGCGCGGGCCCGTGGGCAACATCGTTTCCTGTTGTCGTGTGGCAGTGCGGGGCAGGCGACTCCGCGTTGACTTGCCGCAGTGCTGGTGGACTCGTGTGATCTGTCTTCTCGCTCACGCGTGACGTCCTGTCCAGGACGCGCGACCTCTGAGCTGGTGGCTGCACGTAGTTTTTTCTGACATGCGCGATTCTTGAGATGTGGTCGGTTGGGAAATCTGACAGGGATACCTTGCCTATTTGCAGTAGTCTGGCCCACCTACCTGTCCCATGCCTTTTCCTGCAGGCTTGCATTCTGCACCGAGTCCTGCAAGAGTCGCGCTGCACTCACGCATCGACTCCCCCCTCCATCCCCCCTGCGCCCTCGTCGCCCCTGCATCCTCGCGCTCGGACGAGGGAGGGGCAGCAGCCGGCTTGCACTGGCAGCAATTATCCGCAAAGGCAGGGCCTCGTGGCATGCTTCCTGCCGGCGGCGTGCCCGATCGGCCATCTCCCGAGGTCCCTGGAGCGCATGTGGGAGCGCACGTGGCAGCTCCAGAGCGACCCCGAGGCCGAGGCGCCGCGAGGCCTGCTCTACGTGTGCCTCGGCGTGCTGCTCCGGCACCCGCTGGTGGACGGCTGGCGCGAGGTCGTCCAGGACCGGGGCGCCGCACGCCCGCAGAGCCGTATAGTGAAACATCCGGAGGTCCGCTGACGATTTCTCCGCCGCCTTCCATCTCCTCCTCCTCCTCCTCCTCCACTTTTGCTCCTCTTTGCCTCCTGCTCCTCCTGCTCCTCCTCCTCCTCCTCCTTCTCCTCCTCCTCCTCCTCCTCCTCTTCCCCTGTTCCTTTTCCTCATCAACTCCTCCCTGTCTCGCCTCGCAGCGGGTCGAATGGGCTGGCCGGGCGTTTCGCTTGGGATCTCCCAGCGGTTCCTTAGAAAGTTGGCAACAGCTTCACAGATGGAGGACGGGCGGTATTCAAGATGTGGCTCTCGCCTCAGCGCCACGCACGTTCGTTGTAAACATTTGCGAGAGCTTCGCGGATTCGGGGCGGGCCGTTTGCTCAGGATGTGGCTCTCGCCGTTTTCTCGCCTCGGCGCCGCGCACATTTGTTTTTAAATATTTGCAGGAGGGTTTCACGGAATCGAGGGAAGGTCGTTCTCAAGATGTGGCTCTAGCCTCAGTGCCGCGCACGTTCTTTGAAACAGTTTTCAAGACTTTCACGGGCTGAAGGCGGCGCCTTTCCAAAATGTGGTTCCCTCACATTCGTTTTGAACATTTGCAAGAGTTTCGCTGATTCCCAGGGTCAACGTTCCAGAAATCCTGTGTTGGAAGGACTCAGGATTGTGAGGGCGCAGCAGTTACGTTGATTCGCGGTGTTGAAGTCCCAGGAGCGGTGTTCTGGCACGGCTCAGGATCGTCAAGACGCAGCAGTCATGTTGATTCGTGGCGTTGGAGACCCGAGAATGGTGTTTTGACACGCTGCAGGGTTTTCAAACGGTTGTCTCCCAACGAGGCAGTTCTTTTAGTGGAATTTGAAGCCTCGCAAGGGCCCGTGAAGAAGGAGCTTGGAGGCAGGGCTTTTATTCCAGCATCGTTGATGAGTCTGGGGCTTCCACTGCTCCTCCTCCTCATGCCCCTCCTCCCTCAGCCGCCTGGGCCCCGGCTCCCCACACTGCCCACCGGCGCTCCCGTTTCCCCCCCGCGTGGGCACCTTCCCGCCGCGGCGCGCGGCTCGTGCACAGGCCCCCTCCCCTTTGGTGGTGGGCAGACATCTTTCATGCAGAGCCGGGCGCACATTTGAGGTCAGCAACGAGAACTACTCGAGGGGCGCGACTTTCCTCACAGGCACGCGGCTTCGACAACGACAAAGTTTCCGATGGCGCCTGCACCAGCATCACAGACCGTCCCGCGCACATTCGTAATTCAGGCTCTCGCAGACGCCCCTTGGTTCTTTCACGCACTGGAGTGCAAGTAATGTTGTAAAAAACGTGAACTTCCATTACAGCATGCTAGCCAGGTTTGTTCTCTCCACCTCCAGGAACGCAAGGACGTGATGGAGCAGTGAAGATCAAATCATGCCGATTTCATCTACTGCGCCTTGCGCTGTACTGCCAACTTTGACCTCACGTAGCAAAAGAAATGATGCCGTACAGAAGCGCTTCACCATCTGATTCAATGCATGGACGCAGTTTGCCGATACTATCCAAACCGAGTTTCAATCTTGTTTGGTGGAGACCTCGATGACCACGCGGGGCGACCAGCACCACACGTCTTCCATGATGAGCCGTTTCGGTCGCAGCACGAATTCTACATGTCCCGTGTGCGAGGCATTATTCCGCAAACAGTGGATGCATTAAGGGGCTCTCGTGCTACTCTTACTGAGGAATCGGCCGGGTCTGGCGAGGATTTTCTTCCACGTTGCCTCCCGTGGCCGCCTCGTGCGCTGGGTGTGTCGGACGAGGCTTCGCCGCGTTGCCTCCCGCGGCCGCCGCGTGGCCGCCCCGTGCGCCGGGCGGGTCCGGCGAGGGCTCGCCACGTGGCAGTTCTGTGCCCGCGTCGTGGTCGCCCCACGCGCTGGGCGGGTCTGGCGAGGTGGCGCCACGCTGCCGCCTCGTGGCCGCCTCGCTCGTCAGCTGGGTTCATACCACGTAGAAGAGCTGGTCAAGAGAAGTATGCACTCCAACGCCCTCTCCCCTCCGGACTTCTCGTTTCCCCCTGGGCATCGGGGGTGGACAGAACCCCCAACAGTGACACGTCGATTAGTGAATTGTCCGTTTTCGGTTTTCGAGAGGGCGCCGTGGCCGTTATTTTCCAGGCTTGCGCCCGCCAGGTCTGGGCATCAGGTCGCTTTCACTAAACCACGTTTTACTAAAGGGAGGTCTGTCCATCCCCGAGGGCACTGCAAATGCAGCATCCTGTTGCCTCGTCGCTCCCTTCCCACATGAATCTGCACAACCACAGGCAGGCTTGACGCGTCGCCCCCCTCGTCCCTGTCGGATATTGTTATGCGCGCACGCTCGCTCACTGCAGAAGATTTAAGTTGACAGACGCCTTACAAACAATCGCACAAAGTCCGAACGCGCGCGCACATGCCGAAAGCATACCAAACGCACCGGTTCTGAAAGGATCACATATTCAACAACCGTTCGCTGTTCCATGCCACAGTTTGCTCATGTTCTGCCCGCGTACATTTGCTGCACTCGCAGGACAACAACATGATTTTAGCAATGTCGCCCAGATCCCGCGTTCTCATTTCACGCGTTGCATCCGTTCTGGTCCAGCATGCGCCCATTGCGCGAATCCGTATCAAATGATACCATATGGGCCACGCGCTCGCCGCCACGCGAGCGTGGCGAAAGTTGTCCAACATCAGTGATATCTGTGGCAGTTCAATATCGAGCTCTGCAAATACACAACATGCTTTTCAACAACAAGTTTGCCAGGGTTCTTGGATTTCCGCGCGCGGGTTCTTACGTCCTTACCATCATCATCATCACCAGCGCAGCCGCATCACGTCAACGTCATCGACCCTCGCCGAAATTGCCGCCATCACCACTCAAGCATCTGCATCACCGATATACGGACAGCACCATCCTCATCTGCGTGACCAGCATCTGCGCCGTTAAGGGCCTTGCTGTCGTCATTGTCATCGCCACCACCATCACTACGACCATCATCGTTGCCGCCGTTGTCGGCGTCATCACGACACCGTGCCCGCCCGAGCCACCGTCCCGCATTGCAGTGCCCGCGCGACACGCGCTGGGACGCTGCCATCGGTAAACGCCATCGCGGCGGCACTGGTTGTGCCTCACTTGCTGGTCGTTCTGCGCGCGAACTTACGCGCGCCCCAGCACGGCCGCGTTGTCAGTGTCGCCGCGGACGTTGTCCATTTGATACAGAAGGGCGCTTGCCCAACAGCGGCCGCTGACGGTGCTGGACGGAATCTGCTGTTGTGCATCATGCGTGCCCATGTTGTTCGTACCCACGTCGAGCGTGCCAAGCCGCGATCGGTCGGGCCCCTCGGCCAACGCCGTTGTGCGCAAGATCTCGTTTGTTCCGCCTGGTGGCGCAGGAGTCCCACACCGGGCTTCCCCCAGGCGCATCCCTGCCGTGTTGCACCTCCCCCGGAGGACAGGATGGCCAAGTGGGAGCAGGAGTGGACGTCTGCGACGCAGGAGCGCCCGACCCCGCCCTTCCTGGGTCCCGCGCGGGGGGCGCCGGATCGAGTCGGGGCCACATCCTGCCGCCGCCCGGGCGTTGGGACGCCAGAGCCAACGCATCTCGGGTTTGTCTCCTCGTCGCTGCCCTGGAGGAGGAGGAGGAGGAGGAGGAGGAGGAGGAGGAGGAGGAGGAGGAGGAGGAGGAGCAGTGCCCTCTTCCCCCCCCTTCCCTGCGGTGCGGAGGCCGAGGGCCGCATGAGCAGGCACAGCTTCGGGGGGCCGTGCGGAGTTTCCGGGTCAGCTCCGGGGCCCTCCCCCCGCTCCGCGGGGGGGGCGGCTTCCGGGGCCGCTCCGCGGGGCGCGCCCCTGCGCGGTGTGGAAGGGGGGTGCGGACAGAACCCCCAACAGTGACACGTCGATTAGTGACTGGAGGAGGAGGAGGAGGAGGAAGAGAAGGAGGAGGAGGGGGAGGAGCAGGCGGAGGAGGAGGAGGAGAAGGAGGAGGAGGAGGTCGCCGTGGCCGTTATTTTCCAGGCTTGCGCCCGCCAGGTTTGGGCCTCGGGTCGTTTTCACTATAGACCACGTTTTGCCAAAGGGGGGTCTGTGCATCCCCCAGTGTGGAAGGGGTGTGGCGGAGCCTCGCGGCCCTCCAAGAGTCTGCGGGTATCCTCAGGCCTCTAGTGGCGGGAGATGTTCCGAGGGCAGAGCGCCGAGGGCCCAGGGTCCAGGGTGACTGGCGTGCACTCGTGAATCTCCCCAGGCCTCGCACCGCACGATTTGTTGATAATGCCAGACGGCTGCTTCCACCACGGCGTTGAGGTGTCACTCGCTTGCCTCTCCTTGGAATTTCCATCGGCCTCCGGAGAGCGCGTGCTTCCTCTCCACGAGAGCAGTCGGAACTGTCAGACTGTTTGTTGCCCGCGTGGGCCCCAAACAGTAGGCTCTTGCGCTCTCGCTGTGCGCTCGACGGGGTGCAGTTCACGATTTGTGTTAAGTCGGGCCTGTCCCTCTATAGGAGGAAAATTCAAACATAGGAAAACAATAGTCTGGTGACCATAGTTTTAGGATGTTTTGATTGTTTGGGGTATTGTGGAGTATTTCTCATGGTTCGCCCAAAATCCCCCTGTAGGGGGACAAGCCCGACTATATTTTTATGCTTGTCAATCTCAGTGTGCGCGCAATCATTCCACCCCAGGGCTGGACCTAAGCGCTGGTTTGCTGGACTTCGGCGGTGTTTCGTTTCGGCAGGGAGGCACAGGAAAGCAGACAGAGCAAAACGAAACGCGAAACGAACACAAAGCGAACACACAATGTTTAGGTCCAGCCCTGTTCCACCCTCCCACTCGCAGCTTGCTTTGAAAAACTCACGTGGGCGCGGCGATTGCGCTGACTGCATGGCCCTAGCTGGCGCATTCTGCGGCCGCGCTGGCGCGCACAAGCTCGCGCGCAGAGCGGCCAGCTGGTTTGTCGCAGCCGATGCGGCTGCGATTCCACTCTCCGGCGCGTCTCAATGGCTGCGCTGGCGCGCGGGTATTTCAATGCGGGTCGGTGACTCGGGTCGGCGCGGTGTCGTGATGACGTCGGCACCGGCGACAAACGATGATGACAGCAGCGAGGGTGGTGGCGATAATGACGATGATGACGGCGGCGCTGACGCTGGTGAGGGCGAGGGTGTGCGCGCGTGGAAAGTCAAGAGCCCGGGCGGACATTCGATTCAACAATGTCTTACACGAGTTGTTTTGATAGTTCTATGTTGGAGCGCTTCGAACACCAACGGTTAGGGAGGGATTTCGACGCGTGCGACGCGGCTCGTGCATGTGGTCCGCATGGTGAGATCTGAGCCGGATTCGCGCGCTGGGCGCATGCTGGATCAGCGTTGCTGCACCGAGTGTTGCGATGAGAATGCTGATGCTGGGCGAGAATTCTGAAATCAGATTGCTGCTTTCTGGTTCCAGCAAGTTCGCTGGGGCAGAACATTCACAACATTTGAGCCGCAAGGCTGTTCATGTTGTATCGTTTTTGTGCTTAACATGGTTTCGACATGTGCGCGCGCGTGTTGATATTGTTCCGCGTCCTCGCAAGAAGATTCGGTGGAAATGATAACATGATAAACGAGTGCGAGCGCATAGTATCATTGGACAGGGTTGACGGGGGGGCTGGTTACCCGTTGGTTGGAATGGTGCGGACTCACGCAGGAAAAGCATGATTCCACAAGCACATATGTATTTGTTTGCGCCCCAGGGGAGGACGATAAACCCGCGGGGCATAGGGAAGTGGAACGTGCGTTCGAAAAGAGAATCCACACTATAGAACCTGAAGCCGTCTAATCCCGCAACCTGTTCTGCAAAACCCATGCGGCGGCCATTCTGGTTACTGTTGTGCTGTTGGTAGCGCATCTCTACGGCCACGCTGGCGAACGCACGCTCGCGCGCAAAGCTAGGCATAAAGCTGCGGCCGAGATGGCGCTGACCCATTGGACTTCCCTGGCGCGTTTCAAACGCCGCCCTGCCGCACGGACGTGTCAGTGCTTGTCGGTGATTCGGACGGGTGCCGTTTCATGGTAATTTCGACATTGGTGGCAACGATTATGATATCAACGACGATAAGGCGACGATGATGATGAATTTGTGACGACGTTGACGACGATTGTGTCCATGCGTCGAAGGTGGAGGTTAGTGTCATGATGATGCGGCAATGGCGAAGGGGACAGTGACGATGACGGATTCGATACGATGGCGCCGATGAGGGTGATGAGGAATTGTGGGTTCGCATGGGCTTTTAATACATCTTGCGGACCGAGTGCCGAAAGAAAAACATGTATCTGCTCAAACGTTTCCGAACAACTCTGCTTACCAGTTTGAACATATCCCTATCCATATGTTTGACATCACCTCACCTCGATGCCGATCTTAAGGACTCCCTCAGTTTCTGAGGGCCCATCCCTAAAGTTGTCCTCGCTTTTTGCTCGCCCATCTTAGGGATAGGGATACGTTCGAGGCTGGTTATCTGCCTCGCAATGCGTCGAAGGCAAGTGTTCCTCGGAAGGAACTCCGCGCGCGCGTGGCGGCGCGCGCCTCTGCTCCGCATGGGTTGCTGTATTCCAGACTCGCGCACCGTGTGCATGGTACATCAACGCGGATGCATTGCGCTTGGCATCGCTCGGACGTGTGCGTTTTTTCCTCGGCGGAGTCCATCGAGGAGCATCCTTGATCATTTGGCGAAGAAATCACGCACGAAACCGAAACATACACAGGGAATGGACGTCCGAGCGATGGCGAGTGCGTGATGAGATCGCAGGTTGGGTTTCTGGACGACATATTGAACACATGTACGTCTCACCTGATTTAAGCGCGTGAGCGAGGGCATCATAGTTGCAATATGTTTGATGTGTTGTGTTCGTGGTGGTGGGGGAACGTGCTTGCATACTGGATTGCACAATTCATGTGGTTGGTACGAATTGGACATGATACGTGCGTGCGCTTGTGCACGTTGTTTTGCTAGCTCAAGGAATTGTTGAAGCTTGATTTGTTGAGATAGGCGAGCGCGCGCGCATTCCATTATTTGACAGGGATGGCTGGGGTAAGCGATGCCGGCCGAATTGGGAGGTATGAGTTCATATAGAGGTTGTCCAATATTACATAAGTATGTAGCACGACATACGAAAAGGTGAACGGAACAGTCTTAGAGCAGGAAGGCGATACATATTCTTTTTCATTTGAACATATTGTTGTACATGTGTATACGGATTTTGCACATCGATGTTTGTGCATCTATCTATATACACATACATTCACATATATATATATACATAGATATACGTATATACCTGTATAAATAATAGCAAGTAGGAACAATAATACTACTACTAATAATACTAGTAATAATAATACGAATAATACTACTAATACTAATAATAATAAGAATAATAATAATAATAATCATAATGATGTATTAAAACAAAGGTTTCGCCCTCTGCCGCCGTCCTGGGCGGCTGCGCGGGTGTCTCCTTGGGGCCTCTTGGGGGTCTCCTTGGGGCCTCTTGGGGGCCTCTTGGAGGTCTCCTTGGGACCTCTTGGGGGCCTCCTTGGGTCCTCGGGGCCTCTTGGAGACGATATTTTGGGTCTCTTGGGGGTCTCCTTGGGGCCTCTTGGGGGCCTCTTGGGTCCTCTTGGGACCTTCTTGGGGCCCTCTCGGGGCGGAAAGGTAGAGTTTTCGGATCGTGGACTCCCTCTTAGGCTTCTCTTGGGACCGTCTTAGGGTCCTTTTGGGCCTTCTGGGGCGCCTCTTGGACCGTCTTGGGGCCTTCTGGGCAGTCTTGGGGCCGTCTGGGCGGCCTCTTAGGCAGTCATGGGGGCTTCTAGGGTCGTAGTGGTCCGTCTCGGAGCGTCGGAAAGCCGAAACGGCGGGTGGGCCACAAACCTTCAAAAACGTTAGGATAATATTTGATTGTTGCTTCGTGGTGCCCTCTTGGGAGGCCTCGGAGGCCTATTGGGCCGTCTTGGGAGCATCATGGGCCGTCTTGGGGCCATCGTGGGTCATCTTGGAGCCATCTTGGGCCGTCTTGGCCTCCTGAGGCTCTGTTCGGAGCCTCTTCGGGCAATATTGAAGGCCTCTCGGGCCGTTCTGGCCCCCGCGGTGGCGTCACCATGAGAATCCTGGGGTGTTGGCTGTTTGGTGGCGCGGCGGGGCCCCCTAGCAGACAGTGAACAGGAGGCAGGAAACAGGACTGGAGAGACACACAACACATGACAGCAGACCTCACACACCTTCGCAGCCTTTCGCCCCAGGAGGGGGCCGGCGGATACATATACATATAACGGCGCACCGGGTCCGGGGGCCCGGGGCCGGGACCCCGACCACAAATGTGGGCCCCAGGGGGCCCGGAGGATCGTCGGACCGCCGGACGCCGTCCAAGATCGTTCGCAGGCGGCTTCGGAACGCGCTCCGATGGCTCCAGATGCCTTCCGAGACGCCTGTCATGACACCAAGACGGTCCCAAAAGCCTCCAAGACGCTCCGAGAGGCAGCCCAAGAGAGGTCCAAGAAGCAAACATCGTGTCATTCCTATGGGAAAGCGTATATTTTTCGCATGTTCGCATCTTGGGCTTTCACCGCGTCCAAGACGGCCCAAGAGGCCTCCAAGACGGCCTAGGAGGCCTCTGGGAGCGCTCCAAGGCTGCGCGCGAGTGGCTCAGGACGGCCCCAAGACGGCCCAAGAGAGCCCCAAGACGAGTTCGAGAGGGGTCCCAGACGGAGAAAGCCAACCTCGAATTCCGAGCTTCCGGCCCAAGAGGCTCCAGGAGGCGCCAAAATGCCGCCAAGAGGCGCCAAAAGGCTCCCAAAAGCACCCCAAGACGTTCCGAGAGGCACCCCAAGAGAGGTCCAAGAAACAAAAATCGTGCCATTCCTATGGGAAAACGTATATTTTCGCATGTTCGCATCTTGGGCTTTCACCGCGTCCAAGACGGCCCAAGAGGCCTCCAAGACGGCCTAGGAGGCCTCCGGGAGCGCTCCAAGGCTGCGCACGAGTGGCTCAGGACGGCCCCAAGACGGCCCAAGAGAACCCCAAGACGACTTCGAGAGGGGTCCCAGAAGGAGAAAGCCACTCTCGAATTCCGAGCTTCCGGCCCAACACATCCCAGGAGGCGCCAAAACGCCGCCCAGAGGCGCCAAAAGGCTTCCAAAATCAGCCCAAGACGTTCCGAGAGGCACCCCAAGAGAGGTCCAAGAAGCAAAAATGGTCCCATTCCGATGGGAAAACGTATACTTTTCGCATGGTCACCTGTTGGGTTTTCACCGCGTCCAACACGTTCGAAGAGGCTCCCAAGACGGCCTAGGTGGCCCCCAAGAGAGTTCCAAGACGGTTCACGAGGCGCCCAGGACGGCAAAATTGGACTCCAAAATGGCCTAAGAGAGCCCCAAGGCGTGCCCGAGAGGGGTCCCAGAGGGAGAAAGCCACTGTAGAATTCCGAGCTTTCGGCCCCAAGAGGCTCCAGGAGGCGCCAAGAGAGCTCCAAGAAGCCCCCACGAGAGACCCAGGACGCCCCAAGAGGCTCCAAAGGCGGCCCAAGAGAGCCCCAAGATGGGCCCGAGAGGGGTTCCACGATTCCTGGGTCTGTGACTCGACAGAACCTAAGCGCGCGCGAAGCGCGCGCGTGGTTCTAGTAGATATATACGTATGTGTGTGCGTGTCTGTGTGTTTGTTTGTGTGTGTGTGTGTGTGTGTGTGTGTGTGTGTGTGTGTGTGTGTGTGTGTGTGTGTGTGTGTGTGTGTGTGTGTGTGTGTGTGTGTGTGTGTGTGTGTGTGTGTGTGTGTGCGTGCGTGTGCGTGTGCGTGTGCGTGTGTGTGTGTGTGTGTTTGCATGCGTGGCGCAACTCATGGGATGCAGCCTAGCATGCCGGAGAGGCCAGCCACCGCACGGGGCGGCCACGAGGCGGCGACGGGCACCCCTTTGCACGAAGACCTGGAGATGTCTGCCAGCGCGCGCGGCGGCCACGAGGCGGCGACCGGTGGCCTGTGCACGGGGGCCCGAGGTGCCGGCCAGAACACGAGGCGGCGACGGGCTCGGGGCTCAAGAGACGGGGGTCAAGGAAGGGGAAGGAGGAGGGGGAGGAGGAGGAGGAGGAGGAGGAGGAGGAGGAGGAGGAGGAGGGGGAGGAGGAGGAGGAGGAGGAGGAGGAGGAGGAGGAGGAGGAGGAGGAGGAGGAGGGAGAGGAGGAGGAGGAGGAGGAGGAGGAGGAGGAGGAGGAGGAGGAGGGAGGAGGAGGAGGAGGAGGAGGGAGAGGAGGAGGAGGAGAGGAGGAGCAGGAGGAGGAGGAGGAGGAGGAGCAGCAGGAGGAGGAGGAGGAGGAGGAGGAGGAGAAGGACGAGGAGGAGGAGGAGGAGGAGGAGAAGGAGGAGGAGCAGGATGAGGAGCAGAAGGAGGAGGAGGATGAGGAGGAGGAGCAGTAGCAGGAGGAGGAGGAGCAGAAGGCAAAGAGGAGCAAAAGTGGAGGAGGAGCAGCAGGAGGAGGAGGAGCAGGACGGCGGCGGCGGCGGCGGCGACCGGTGGCGACGGGCGGCCCGGCCACATCCGCCGGACGGGGGTCAGCCAGAGCGCTGGATCTCGCAGGAGCCAGGGGCGCCCTGGCCTGGGCTCGGGGGGCAGGGCTCTGCAAGGTCCCGCGGGAGCTTGCAGGATCCTGCAGGCCAAGAGGGGAAGACAACACACAGACACGAGTCAGCGTCGATCCCCAGGAACATGTGGGAGGACGTGGGGAGTGGGGGGGAGGACGAACATCCAGAGCATGTTTGAAGCGATAGGGAAGCTTATGATCTTGTGCGTGTTCACTGTTGTGTCCCTGGGCCCCCGCAGCACAGCCGGCCTGCCCCAGGTCTGGGCCTCCCCGGGCCCGGAGGGCCAGCCAGCGCCTCGAGGGCGGCCAGCGCCGCGCCCCGCGCGCAAGCCGGGACAGGCAACCCACGCATCCCTCGGGGCTCAAGGGAGGGCCGGGGGGTCAATCTAGGGGTTGGGGGTTTGGGGTTGGGGGTCCTCCTCCTCCTCCTCCTCCATCCTCCTCCTCCCTCCTCCTCCTCCTCCTCCTCCTCCTCCTCCTCCTCCTGAGGCCTCCTAGATTCGACTAGACGTAAGAGTGACCTTTCGCCGGAGTGACCTTTGGTGCGGGCACAGATGGGTCCCCAGATGGCTGAAGGCGAAGCAGTAGCAGCGGCCTGCGCGTCCAGGTTTTGGTTCCCCCGCGGCACCCAAAAAGTCGCGCACCAAAGGTCACTCTTACCCAGGGTCACTCTTGCGTGTAGCCGATAGATGGGGTCGGAGTTGATGGGGTCGGAGGATCGCGCCGCATTGCCGATGCATCGCCGATGTGGCTCGATGTGCAGCCCGATTTGCTTCGCGTCGACGTCGCCGATGCATCGCCGACGTCGATGATGCATCGCCGGTGCATCGCCGATGCATCGCCGATGTATCGCCGATGTATCGGCGATGCGGCGCGATCCTCCGATCCCATCTACTCCGACGCCATCTAGGAGGCTTCTAGCCAATGCGAACGAACGGGGGTCAGTCAGTGCGCCGGATCTTGCAGGATCCCGCAGAGCCAGGGGCGCACTGACCCTGGTTTGGGTGCAGGCTTCTGCAGGCTCCTGCAGGCTTCTGCAGGATCCTGCGAGGCCTGTCTCACCTGGGTCTGAGTTGACCTGGGTCGGAAGATCCCCGAGTCTTGGAGCAGTGTCAGAAAAAGAAGCAACACAGGCAGTGCAAGCATCGTCTGGGGAAATGTACATCGCCAACCTCCTCGCCCTCCCCTTGTCCTCGGATCTCGCTGTCGAAGGCTGGTGCTGCTCTGTGCGGCCGTCCTTTCCGCGCTCCGTCTGGCCGTTTGGCTCCCGGCTCCGAGGACTGGCCCCCTCGAGGCCCCGCAAATCCACAAGCAGACCCCGCGCCCTCTGATCGGCTTCGAGCGAGGGGGGGGCAGTGGGAAGGAGAAGGCCTTTGCAGAAGGCGGCGGGACTTCTCAGAAGCCCTCGCGCCTCCTGAGAAGTTTGTTCAGGAGGAAAAGAAACACACAGACACAATTAATCCTCGATTCCCCAGAAAATATGGGAAAATATGGGAACTGGGGGGGAAGACAGGAACCTAGAAACTATAGGAAAATATGGGGAATATTTTGATTTGTGTGTATTTATTTGTGTGTCCTGGGGTCCCTTCATTTGTTATGTTTTCGGGGAAGGCCAGAACAGCTCTTCAGACGGCCAGGGGACTTCGAACCTTCCGGGAACGGCCTTTTCCTGCTCACTTCCCCCCTCCGCTCGCCGCCGATCCGAGAAGCCCGCGCTCGCGCGGTCGCCTCGATGGCGGTTCCGCAGGGGATATGGTGCTTTGTGTACGGTATAGGTCGGCGGTGCGCAGAATCTGGGCCTGGGGTCGGACTAGATGGGGTCGGCGGATCGCGCCGCATCGCCGATGCATCGCCGATGCGGCTCGATGTGCAGCCCGATGTGCTCCACGTCGACGTCGCCGATGCATCGCCGACGTCGACGATGCCTCGCCGGTGCGTCACCGATGCATCGCCGATGCATCTCCGATGTATCAGCGATGCTGCGCGATCCTCCGACCCCATCTACTCGGACCCCATCTAGGAGGCCTCAGGAGGAGGAGGAGGAGGAGGAGGAGGAGGAGGAGGATGGGGGAGGAGGAGGATGGAGGAGGAGGAGGAGGAGGAGGAGGAGGAGGAGGAGGAGGAGGAGGAGGAGGAGGAGGAGGAGGAGGAGGGAGGAGGAGGATGGAGGAGGAGGAGGAGGAGGAGGAGGAGGAGGAGGAGGAGGAGGAGCCCCGTCCAGGAGGCCTCTACAGAAGGCGGTGGAGCGAGGGGGGCCGCCTTCTGTCAGGAAGCTGGAAGTACACATGACGCGGCCGCCCTCGGCGTAACATGGATGCACGTGTGGCCAGATGCTTGCCCAGCCCAGTCCCTCAGGGGGGGTCCTTTCGAAGGCGGGGGTCTTGTTCGAAGCGCGCGGATGCTTCTGGTAAGCCACTTGCCTTCTTAGCAGCCACCACCCCGCCTTCCCAGAGGGCCGCCCCCTCTCGCGCCACCCCTTGTGCACGCCGCCTGGGCTGGGCTGGGCAGATGTTTGGCGAAATGTGTGCTTCAGCGCTGTCCCTCCCTGAGCTCCAGATCTTAGTGGGCCCTGGAAACGACAGGGCAGGCTTTTTACCGGTTCCGTTCTGCCGTTTTTCTGCCGGTTCCGACGCCGCTTTTTTACCGGTTCCGTCGCCGTTTTTTGACCGGTTCCGGCTCCGGTTCCAATCCTGGAGCCGTGTTTTTGCCGTTTCCGGTCGCCGTGTTTTTGCCGTTTCCATTTTCGAGGGACATTTGTTTGGAAACGGTGAAAAACGGCCTTGCCGTTTCCGGGGCCCACAAAGCTCCAGATGCGATCCCAGCATTTGTTGGTGTTATGTGTGTTCAAGTTTCCTTGTAGAGAAGGCTGGGGTCTTCGCAGAAGCCTTCCTGTCTTCTAGTGATTCTAGTGGGCCTTCCAAGAAGCCTCTGGATCTGTCTAGGAAGCCTCAGGCCGCCCCAGAAGGCATCTGGGCCATTCTGGAAACGCCTTTTGCCGTGCCGCCCATCAGGCATCATCGGTATGCTTGGCATGTACGGCGTGATCCAAGAGAAGATCATGACCGTTCCCTACGGCAAGACCGACACGTTCGAGGGCGAGATGTTCAAGGCATCGCTCTTCCTCGTTTTTGCCAACCGGATTGTGGCCATTGTGTACGGCTGCGGCATGACTTGGTTGAAGGGAGAGGAGTTTGGACCCAAGGCCCCTCTGTGGAAGTACTTAGCGATATCCTTCTCCAACGTCGCAGCCACCTACTGTCAGTACGAGGCCCTTAAGTGGGTGTCTTTCCCAGTGCAGATGCTCGGAAAGAGTTTCAAGATGATGCCTGTCATGGTTTGGAGCATCATTATTTCGGGAAAGAAGTATGGGATCAAGGATTGGCTCATTGCAGCTGGTGTGACTTGGGGTGTGACGCAGTTTTTGCTCACTGGCTCCATCAAGTCCAAGCACGGCGACGCGAGCACCAGTGTTTACGGCTTGTTGCTAATGCTTGGTTTCTTGGGTTGCGACGGATTCACCTCCACTTTCCAGGAGAAGGTCTTCAAGGACTGCAAGACCACCAAGTACAACCAGATGATGTACGTCAACGCTGGCTCAGCTTGTGTTTCCGGCGCCAGTTTCCTATTGTCAGGCGCCGCCCCGAGCACCATTGCTTTCTGCGCCAGGTATCCGGACTTTCTGTTCCAGGCGATGACCCTCAGCGGCGCCGCCGTGGGCGGGCAGTTCTTCATCTATTCGCAGGTTAAGGAATTCGGTGCTCTGGTGTTGGCCGCGACCATGAACCTTCGGCAGGTAATATCCATCATGGTGTCGTACTTGCTATATGGTCACAGCATCACGCTCCTGCAGGTCCTAGGGCTTGTGTTGGTGTTCGCGTCGCTGTTCTACAAGACGTACGAGGGGTACAAGGCCAGCCAGAACAACCCTCCGAAGTCTACCAAGCCGGTCACAATCGAGACAGCGGCGGATCAAGACGAGGACGACAAGACGCCGGGCGCGGAGAGGGTGGGCAAGAGCGTCGATGCATGAGCGTCTCTCGCAGGCGGCCCAGACCGCTGCGGCCACCAGTGATTTCAGCTCAGCCCCGCGGGGCCGCGCCGAGCCGCAAAGGCTTTCCAAAGCGAGCTTTGGCGGCGGCGGCGGCAGGCCCCTCCTTGTCCGCGCGAACCCGAGCTGCCCGTGGTTCCAGGGCCTCCCAATGGATGGGTGCAAGCGGTGCGGCAGCAGCGGGCCCGCGCGTGCCCGCGCGAACCAGCGTGGGCAGGAGCTGCGTGTGGGTCGGGCCCGCCGGCGTGCCGTCGATCAATACCCGAGACGCCCAGCTCGGCTCCGCCGAGGTGCAGGGTTCGTGCTGGTTAGTATGATGTCAACGTGATGGGCGTGTTCTCCACCACCACCACCATAAGTTGGAGGGGGGGAGGAGGAAGAGGAGGAGGAGCAGGAGGACGAGGAGGAGGAGGAGGAGGAGGAAAAGGAGGAGGAGGAGGAGGTGGTGGAGGGGGACCCCTTCCCCTCCAACTTATGGTGGTGGTGGTGGAAAACAGGCCCATCACAACAGTCGACCCAAAAACAGCCCTTGGCACCGGCGCAGTGCCTGGGGTTGAGACTCGGCGCGTGCAGTGCTCGGCCCAGCCTCTACGCAGGGGCAGGAGGTTGCGGGGGCAAGAGTTGAGTCGGGCGTGTCCCTCCACAGGGGGAGGATTCAAAGATAGTCAAGACATAGTCCAGGGGCGATCTTTCGACTATGTTTGAGCATTTATGGAGCATTGCTGGAGTATTTTGTCCGTCCCAAATTCGCCTGTAGGGGGACACGCCCGACTTAAGACAAGAGCAGGATCGGGAGCGCGAGCAGAACCAGCGATGCAGTCAAGATGCTGAGGTAAGCAGCAGTTCGAGCTCGCCGGGGGCCCGCTGCTCACCGGGTCCTCCCATGGCCGCTCCTCTGACGCTCCTCGTGCACGCAAGCGCTCTGGGTTGCCACAGAGGGGCTGCGTTCCGTATCTAGCGTTCCCGATAGCAGCAGCTTAACTATAGTTACGAGCAGGAGCAGGGAGGCGGAGGAGCGGCCGTGCGCTCCGTGCGCGGCCGTGCGCCGTGGGGCGCGGCCGTGCGCTCCGTGCGCGAGGAGGAGGAGGAGGAGGAGGAGGAGCAGGGGGAGGAGGAGGAGGAGGAGGAGGAGGAGGAGGAGGAGGAGGAGGAGGAGGAGGCGGCGGCGGCGGCGGCGGGAGCAGGAGCATGAGAATGCGGATGACCGTGGGGCGAAGCTCTTGTGCCAGTTTACTGCGCACTGCAACACGCCTGCAACCGTGCAGCACAGAAGGGCAAGAGAGAGAGAGAGAGAGCGTCGCCTGGGCCCTGTGAGCCAGAGGCCTCCAGTGGGCGTCGGCGCCCGGTGGGGCAGTCCTGTGCCCAGTGCCGAGCCCGAATGGCGCGCAGCTTGTGGCCGCCACCGTCGAGCGTCTGCATGGATGGCGCCATCCTCTGCCTCTGCCTGGCCGGCGAGGGCGTCGGAGCGGGATGGGTGGCCCCAGCCCTGGGGCAGCTGGGGAGCAGGGGGGAGTGCGGGCCTTAGTGGGCCCTGGAAACGGCAGGGCAGTTTTTTTACCGGTTCCGTTTTGCCGTTTTTTTTGTCGGTTCCGACGCCGTTTTTTTACCAGTTCCGTCGCCGTTCTTTCACGGGTTCCCGGTCCAGTTCAAATCCTGGAGCCGTTTTTGTTGCCGTTTCCGGTCGCCGTTTTTGTTGCCGTTTCCATTTTCAAGGGGCCTTTGTTCGGAAACGGCGAAAAAGCGGCCCTGCTGTCTCCGGGGCCCGCTGTGGTGCGGGCGCAGCAGCAGTGTCGATGGGACAGTGCCGTTTTTTTACACATGCTCCGCGTGCGGATCATGTCTTAAAAATGCAGGGAGTTAGTTTAAAAAAACAACGATGAGTTCATGCACACATTCCTTCATAGATTAATCATGCATTGAAAATCCCATACGCTTGCAGATCCGATGTATTAAAGACTGCCCTGGGAGAGGGGAGGGCGCGGAGGCTCCGGGCCAGGGAGGAGGGCGGATCGGGGCGGGGGTGGGCGCAGACGGAGCAGGGGGCCCCGCAGGGCCAGAGCCCGAGGCGGGCTGCGTCGCCGCCTCCCTCCGCACAGCGCGCCGGCCCTCAGCAGTGGCCGAGAGAGTCCAAACCGATGGCAAGGATGGCCAATCTTAGAAAGTCCAGGCTCGCTAGGGATTGGTTTCCTTCGAAAACAGCCGAAACCCTCCCGAAGCCCTCCGAAAACCCTCCTGGAAGGGTCCCTGGAGGCCTTTCGACGGGCTTCGGAAGGGTTGTGGAAGGGTTTTCGCCGTTTGGGGGGGGGAACCAGTCCCTAGCGAACCCTGGGCTTCCTAAGGCTAATCTTCCCAGAGGTACCCCTTTGCATCCGTGCGTTGTTGGTCCATCCTCGATGGCTTTCGGTGGCCACGCCGCGCTCGAAACAGCTCCAACAGGGCGATCCGAGGGGACTGCATTCTTACCGCGCATCTCTACACAGTCAGTCTTGATTGTACCTCGGACGTCAGGGGAGGTACCCCCACCCTGACCCCCACAATCGGCGTCTATTGAACGGCCCTGGGCTGTTAGTAAGCAGCCCTGCCCTGATCGATTCCTTCCTGCAGTGCGTGTGCTGACGGCTTCGCTTGTCGGGGTGTGGTTGTGAGGGTGGCGTTCCCGCTTTCCCAGGCGTGCTCCAATCGACCCTGAAACCTACATACTTTCGGCGGCGAGAGAGGGGGGGGGAAATGAGAAGGAGAAGGCCTTCTCGGAAGGCGGCGGGACTTCTCAGGAGCGCTCGCGCCTTCCGAGGAGCTGCTTCTGTGTCTTCGGGGAAGGCTCAGAGAGCTTCTCAGAAGGCCAGGGGAACCAGGGGAACCTCCGAACCTTCTGAGAAGGCCTTCTCCTTCTCGCTTTCCCCCCTCGCTCGCCGCCGACACTTCACCTGATTGTGGAGCCGTGGGGCCTCGCGGAGGAGCTCGCCCCCCGTAGCCTGAAGTCGGGCACGCCCCTCTACAGGAGGAACCTTCAAACATGGCCAAGAAATCGTCTGGGGACGATTGTGGGACCATTCCTGAGCATTTTTCCCCTATGTTGGGGATGTGTCTTATTTTTGGCCCAGAATCCCCCTGTTGGGGGGACATGCCCGACCTAAGCGTAGCCCCTCCCATCGCCTTCGCGCATCCTGTCGCCCTGATGGCCGACCCCCTGCGCTCGAGGCGGGGAGGCCGCCGTGGGAGCGCGGCGGCCGATCGGGATCTGGACTCCTCCTCCTCCTCCTCCTCCTCCTCCTTCTCCTTTTCCTCCTCCTCCCCCTCCTCCTCCTCCTCCCCCCTCCTCCCCCTCCTCCTCCTCCTCCTCCCCCCTCCTCCCCCTCCTCCTCCTCCCCCCTCCTCCCCCTCCTCCTCCTCCTGGGCCCAGGGTGCGCCCTGGCCGGGGCTCGGCGCGGGTGCACCTTGCAGCTGGCGCACTCCGACCCCGCCTCCTCCCACCCGCTTGCCGTTCGTCGCCTTGAGCTTCTTCCCGCGGCAGCGGCGGGCGCTCTGCGACCGCTTTTGCGACCGCTTTATCCGACACCTGTTCCCCTCCCCATCCCCATCCCGATCCCCACCGTCCCAGCACTCTAGGTCTCCTAGATGGGGTCGGAGTAGATGGGGTCGGAGGATCGCGCCGCATCGCCGATGCATCAACAATGCGCCGCGATGCGGAGCCCGATTTTCTCCACGCTGGCGCCGCCGATACATCGCCCACGTCGACGATGCATCGCCAGTGCATCGCCGATACATCGCCGATGCATCGCCGATGCATCGGCGATGCGGCGCGATCCTCCGACCCCATCTACTCGGACCCCATCTAGGAGGCCTCTAACCACCCCGGTTGGGGAAATGCCCCTCGAAGCTCGGAGGGAGCAGCCTATATCCCCATCTCGGGGGGCAGATCGGCCAGTGGGGCCTCGATGCTGTTTTGCGACCGCCTGCGGACCCTGCCCCTGCGGGTCGTGGCACCCCCGATGGGGGCTACTTGGCTGCACGCGTCCTTCAAGTTCAGAGCCCCAGCCAGTTGTTCGGGCGTCGGACCTGCAAGGGTAGGGCTCACATTGGGTTGCCTAGCTTTTCAAGTCGTTAGGGTCCTCCATCTTCTCGGTGACTGTCGTCCAGAACTTTGAGCTGGCTCCCGCGACGGCTCGGGCGCCACGAGCTGGTGTTGGGGGGAGGCAGGCCTACCAGCTGAGGCGGCCACTGTTACTAACCCCTCTAGCTGCAGGAAGTGGACGAGAGAGCGACAGATTGAGATGTAGATCGACCCTTAAGTGCACTGTTTTTTTTGTCAGGGTCAAGACGACAAGTACGGTGGCCGCGACGTACTCCGCTCGAGACGGCTCACGGGCCAACTTGCTTCAGCCAAAACGGTTATACGCATTTTGGTACGGCTCACGGCTCACGGCTCCGGGAAAGCTTCTCATCTTTAGGCGGTGTTTGGCATGGCCCCCAGGCCACGAGAGCGAACAAGAAACGGCAGCCGCCCCGACCGCCTCCGAGCCGCCCGATGCCCGAGACGCCCTGGCGCTCCCCCTCCCCGCTCCCCCTGTGGGGCCCCCGCGGCCCCTTGCTTTTGGGCCGGCCTCCCCCTCTCCCCCCCTCCCCTCGTCGGGGCCCCAAAGTCGAAGAAGAAATAAGCGTACAAACATAAACTGTTGGCGCTCCGCGCGGATTTCTTGTATCCGCGCTGGGGCCCCCCGGCGGCGCCTCCGGCGCCGCCCTTGGCGCGCTTCGGGCGCCAGGGAGATCCCAGAAATCCGCGCGGAGCGCCAACGGTTTATGTTTATGGCTCTTTTCCTTCTTCTGCACAAGGCCCCTCCTGGGGGCCCGAAGGCGCACGAATGGTGCACCCTTGTTCGCAGCCCCCCCCCCCGTCTAATACCCCCAAGGAGCCCATGGAGCACCGCCAAAACAACCCTTGTCAGGGGCGTGGGCGTGGGGTCACCTGTGCCCCCTGTTGCACGGAAGGGCCAGGGAGGCATGGGGGCCACCCGCCTTCGGTGGGCTTGTGCTGCCCGTGGTGCAGCGCCGACGAGGCCAAGCCCCTTTCCTGTTGCCCCCCTCCTTCCATCTGCGTTTCTTGTGCTGGGGCCCCCGTTGGAGTGGCGGCCCCCAGCTCCAGGGGGTCTCGTTGGTGGGCGTGTGCCCTCCCCCCCGCCCTCCCCCCCCCGTCCGAATTCAGGCGTGGAAGGGCCGTTCCCGTCCCATACGGTGAGGAGGAGGAGGAGGAGGAGGAGGAGGAGGAGGAGGACCAGTGTAAACCCAAGAGTCGTCAACGATGTTGGAATTAACCCTCCCTCCAAGCTCCCTCTTCATAGGCCCCATACAACGGTTCATATCCATTGAGGAAACTGCCTCGTTGGAAGACAACAGTTTGAAGATCCTGAAGCGTGCCAAAACATCGTGCCCGGGATTTCAACGACACGTATCACCCTGACTGCTGCGTCTTGGCGATCCAGATTCGTCGTGCCAGAACGCCGTTTTGGGGACTTCAACACAGCGGATTCACATAACTAACTGCTGCGCCCGTATAGTCTTGAAGTCTTCCAAAACACCATTTATGGTGCGCTGATCATGAACATCCGTGAAACTCTGGCAAGTGTTTCAAACGAATGTGCGCGGCGCTGAGGTGACAGCCACATTTTGAAAAGGAACCGCCTTCAATTCGTGAACCTTCTGCAAATGTGTTAAACGAATGTGCTCGGCGTTAAGACGAGAGCCACATTTTGAAAACCACCCGCCCTCACTCCGTGAAACTCTTGCCAATGTTTAAAACGAGTGTACCCGGCGCTAAGACGAGAGCCACATTTTGAAAACCACCCGCCCTCACTCCATGAAGTTGTTGCTAATGTTGAAACGAATGTGCGCGGCGCTAGAGCGAGAGCCACATTTTGAAAACCACCCGCCCTCCATTCGTGAAGCCGTTGTCATTTTTTGAGCGTCGGAGTCATAAACGGTGAGGAAGTCTCTGGCGAAACGCCCAGCCCGCCTTAAAAACTGGCCTCGGGGTGAGACAGGGAGAAGTTATCTAGAAGGAGAAGGAATGGAGGGAGAGGGGGAGGAGGAGGAGGAGGAGGAGGAGGAGGAGGAGGAGGAGGAGGAGGAGGAGGAGGAGGAGGAGGAGGAGGACGACGGCGACGGCGACGGCGAGCTCCGAGCCATCCTCTCCCTCGTGCCCCCCCGCGTGCCTCGCCCCTCCTCGTCGAGGACGGGCCGCTCGTGCCCGTGGAGGGCTTCGCCGTCTTCTTCTCCCAGGCGTTTGTCGCCACCAGCCTGGGGGACCAGGCCTTCGAGGCGCGCGACGGGGGCCCGAGCCCCCTCGGGCCGGCCGCGGCTCGAGGTGGGCCTCCCCGCGCGGGCGCCCGCCGCGGAGCCCCGCGAGGGGGCCCTGCCTCCCGTCGGGGAAGCAGAGACGCCGCGAGCGTCAATGTTTGGCGCTCCGCGCGGGTTGCTTGGATCTGCGCCGGGGCCCCCCCTGGCGGCGCCTGCGGCGCCGCCCCTCGGGCGTTGGGGCGGGGGGGGAGATGACGAAGGAGGGGGGAACCGACGGGGGTCCAGGGAAGGGGCCGCACAGTCGAAGAAGAAAGATTTGCGCGAGCATGAACTGTTGGCGCTCCGATTTCTAGGATTTGGCGCGCTCCGCGCGCCAGGGAGGGGGGTCCCAGCGCAGGTCCAGGCGATCCGCGCGGAGCGCCAAAAAGTTTATGCTTCTGGCGTTGTTTCCTCTTCTATCCTGGGGTCCGCCGAGTGGCCCTTCGCTCGCGGGAGCGCGAGCATCCGATAGTACATCGGGGGAGCATCCGCTCGTCTTGGACGGAACGTCTATCGGCGAGCAGCGCCCCATCGCGCGCAGTGGTGGTCAAAAGCGCCGCGTAGCACCGAGCAGCGCTCACTAGCGCCCAGCCGAACAGCGCCGACCAGCGCCTAATGGCGCCGTGTGGGGGATATGCATCACTTCTGCCCTGCGCGTTGTTGGACGCGCTATCGGGCGCTATGGGGACGACGAGCAGCGTCCGCGCGTTGCTCTGTGGCCCATCGCCTCGCGTCGTGGAAAAGATCGCCACCATGGGTTTGAATCAGTTTAGGCCTCTCGGGGCCATCGCCGGCACCCAGGGCATCCAAAAACAAGTCAGGATGAAAAACTGGTCCAGGGGAAGTGGCCGAGACCTTCAGGGGTCCGCATCGTGAAAAGACACATCGTCGGAGACCCAGGGGGCGCGTGGATGAGACACGGGTCCCTCTTCCATGCAAGATCGACGCGCTCCGCAGCCAGATTTGGCGGCACCGTCGCTGTGTTTCTGGGTTCACCTCCCCCGATCCGTGGATCTGGCGCGCACGGGCCAGAACCACGAATCCGTGATACAATGTGTTAGCGTCTGCGCCATCACTCGCGTGCCACAAGAGCAGGAAGAGCCATGACAAGGTTACGGGAAGCTGGATCATACACATGTGACGCTGCCCGTCCGGGCGCGAGCTGGATACACAAGTGGCCAGATGTCTCCAGCGCTCGGACCCTCCGTGGCCTCATATTTAGGCGGGGCTTCGGGATGTGCATCCGGCACGTGACTCCAAGAAGTTCCGACACTTTCTCCAGGGCCGGTTCTTCATCCTGAGTAGTTTTCGACGGTATTGGAGCCTCGAAACGGCCATATTTGAGGCCGAATGCTGCTAGACGCTTCCGTCTTTGAATTTGTAAAGGCTTCGGATGTTTTGCTCGTTTGTTCCCGTCCGGGAGGGAGACCCTCCTCTCCTCACCGCCCACCGACCTCTCCCTCAAAGGCCTCG